CAACTCTGATACGCATCTGCTGTGGACGGAGATCGGATTCGTTTTATTTTTAAACTAAAGCGGAGCAGTGTCTCTCCAGTCGCTGGCTTTAAACCATCGCAGAAGAAGACGCAGCGAGACGACCTCATTCGAAGAGCTGCGGTAAAGGCGCAAACGATGGAAAACCACGTGGAGAACATCACGTGTTACCGTGAGGAAGTTACATCCTCCTCATCGCTCCGCACACAGCTGAGGTTTCCTCTCAGGTTGTTTTAATGCACAAATTGAAAATGTGCATTAAAGCAACCAGAGCTTCGCACTGACTTTCAGCTCATCGTTTATCCGTGTCTGCAGCTTTGAAGTTAAACTGCGGGTTACGGAGACGGTGTGTTGTTTTTCCCACCGCTGAGCTCTTCTCCAAAACTCTCCGTCGGCGTCCCCGTGTTTACCTGCAGCTTTTATGGACGCTTTCACACACATCCACGCCATAAAGCCATGAGAACCACAACACCTCGCCAACTGTACGCCGCTACGTGTGTGTGTGTTTAAAATGATTAACCTTTACTGCCCCTCCTTTTAGCTCCGTTTGTCTCGTATCTTCAGAAAACATCGACTGCTCGACCCAGAGATCCCTGCCTGTTCTTAAAAATGAGTCATTTGTTATAGCTAAGCGAGGGAATCAATTTACAGTTACAAAACTAGTGTTCCTAATATTTTGTCCACCCAGCGAGGGAGGACAAAGTGAAGCGTCTGTTTGTTTATCTTCTTCCTCTGTCTCCGATTCTTTCCTTCAAACCGCTCTGGTGTCAAAATTCACAGGTGCAGTGTGGGTAAACAATAGCGGGAAGCAGGAGCCAGGAAGAGCCGCCCCCCCCCCCCAGTCGTTAGCATGCTTTAGGAGGATTAGCATTTTTAGCATGCGGCGGCTCAGAGGTGCGTGTCTTCCTCAGTCGTCTCTGGGTCGTGACCTTTGACCCCGGGTGAACACAGGAGTGAAGTAAGACACAGGTTAATAGGGTTGTTAAAATGTCACGAGCATTATGTGTGAAAGGTGGAATTATTAGATTGTTACAAGGCAAACACAGATTACAGCAGGCGGCCTGTTTCTGGTCAAACAGAGTCACAAACCTCTGGAGCCTCGCTGACTGAAACCCAGCAGGCAGCGGCAGCTTTGAAGTGAATGAGCGTGTGAGCTAATCATATATAGAAAACACACATAAATCAACTAATTTGCGACATCGCACACAAGGATGGGCTGCTTTAATGGAGCTTGTGTGTGTGCTTGAACTTCACTCCCTACATCTCTATTACATGTTCACAGGTCATAGATCACAGTTGTTTATATATATATATCTGTACAGCGTACGACACCCTCGATCCAGATAGCATGGAACAAATATTCAGGAAGAGCAACAGAGGAGGGACTAAAATAGTAAAATTACTGTATGGACATTTATAATTTCTTTGTCTGTCTTTAGATGTCTTGTTTTGTCTGATCCAAAACTCAAAAAGATTTAGTTTTTCTGTGACGTACGACAAAGAAAACCCTCAAATTATTGGCTATTTTGACTATTAAAATAGCTTTACATTGATTTTATGTCGATTAATCAACTAAAAAAATCTATTTTTATCAGTTAATATAAATTTATCACATGTATTTTGTCAAAGGAGCCACAATGTGAAACACTCACCCCCATGTTTGTAGTTCTTCTGTTTAATCCGGTGAAAAACCTTAAATGGTAAAAAAGAAAGTCATTATATATAATATAGTCCAAATAAAGTTTCTGAGGTGCATTTACTGGCTGTTCCAAGGTGTTTCCTGTAGAAATGTATTGCCTTCCAGTGCAGCAGTATAACAAAAGAAGGTAAAGACAAAGTTTAAATCAGCGAAACTGAGAAATAATGTAAATTTAGAGATTTATACAATGTCCAGGGATCAATAATGAGTGAACAACTTCAAGTTATTGCAGCAGAGTTTTAAAACAAATCCGATCTCCGTCCACAGCAGCGTTTTAGCTGCGTATCAGAGTTGATCTCCGTATTAAAATGACTGAAAACACACATCTAGTGCCCGTCTTCACTAAGACGCTACCCGGAGTTTTGAAACAAAAAACGGGGTCGGCAGCGTTTCCAAACGTCTCTGTTTTAGGTCTTCGTTTTTGCCGTTTTAGTTTGGACGGGAGGAGCAAACGTAGAAAAAGGTCAAAAAGTGTGGACGGGGCCTGCGATGTAGATCGCACCCTGTCCACAAACACGGTGAAGGTGTCACTTTAGTTTGTAAAGATTCTGCCGTCACAGGTCCCCAGAGCCCAAACAGTCAGCGGGTCGATGGAGGAAATAATGAGCAGATTGAACCAGAATGAAAAGAATCATCAGCTGAAACTCAACAGTTCAGAATGAGCTGCTTTCTGTTAATGAGGAGGAAGGAGAATCTGAGGAGAGGTAATAGAACAACATTTAACTGCTTCAACACTTTCTTCATCGTACTCGTACTTTTTTCTGGAAGTGTAATACAGTATGGAGCCACAGATGCTGCACACTGAATATAAATCAAACTTTACTGTGAATCTGGAAATCATGACCACAAACACAAACGATTCAGAGGGAACGACAACAAAACCTCTTTATTTCTGCTTTTCAAACAGGTTTTCTGTGTTTGCAGCTCCCAGATATAAATCTGTAACTTCACTGGGGTCACGATGAGGACACGAGCATCACATAAAACTATGACAGAGACGATGGCGCTCTGTGACTTCCTTTTACTTCTTCATTGGTTAACTATTGACTGCGTTTAACAGCCTGCAGGTCGGAGAGGAACACACACAGAGCTGCAGCACACAGGAGAATAAAGTCAAACAAAACATCATTTATGTACTTACAAACTCAGTCCACTTCCTCTTCCTCTGTAAGTTTTCAGGAGAAAAATCTGAGATTTATGTAACTTAACATGTTGAATCTTTAGTTGGTGCAATAACACCGTGGAAAATGTAAACCTCTGCTGTGTTTTAATGCACTATATATAATATATATATATATATATATAATCATATTTAGTTTCATTTATAGAGATAATATATGAAAGATATGGTTGCATCTTTACTGCAAAGAGCCTTATCTTTGATTTATCCTTCTAGGAGAATATTATCTGTAACTAAAAATAAAGTTTTAAAACATTTTATTTAATGGAAGGTGAGGAAGTAATTTGAATACCAGATTATTTTATCATATATCATAGATAAGCTCATCCTCTACATGATGTGGAATTCAGTCAGGGTTAGAAGTTAAACGTGGACCGACACATGTGGGCACATTATTTATGGATGTAGAAGCAGCAGAGACACTTCCTAACAATATCCAGCGACTTCTGAATTGTCCTTAGCAATAATTTAGATCCAAACCTGCGGTCGACAAATTATTAAAATCCTAAACGTGCTGATACCTCACTGTAAAAACTCTGTTACCAGTAAAAGTATGTAAGTATAATCAGGAAAATGTACTTACTATTAGAATTAATAATAACTACGTATTAAAATTGCTCAAAGCAGAAAGAAAAGTGTCAAACGTGTCAAAACAGGATTTTCCTGCTGTAGCTGTTGAGGTTGAACTATTTAGTTTCAGACTGCAGCTGCTGATTATTTTCTCCATTGATCAATAGTAAAAAGTCTGAAAATAGTGAGAAATGTTGTCACGGTTACCCAAACTTACCCAAAGAGTACTTCACAGCGTACGAGTACTTCAAATAATTAAACAGCAAATCTTCACATGAAATGTTTTTACATGAAAATGACTTGAAAGAGTCAGTCAACGAATGTACCAGCTGTTAGTTTAATCGATGATAACAGAACATGATATTTTATAAACTCTTCATGTGTTTTGTGTGTACAAATCTTAATTTGTAAAGTAACTGAAGCTGTCAGATAAATGTACAGAAGTAAAAAGTACAACAGAACGTGCCAGGAAAATAAAACACTCGAGTAAAGTACGAATACCTCTAATTTGTACTTAATTACAATACTTTAGTAAATGTTCTTAGTTACTGTCCATCACTAGTCAAAACAATTAAATATGTCCACTATTGTCCGTCAGCGTCTGGTCAACTTTATTGATCCCTGAGGGGAAATTCTTCGGGCACAGTTGCTCACTTTGCACATCAAGGCATAAAGGAATAGAAATAATGCTAAAAAGATGGTAAGTAGAATATAAAGACATTCAACCTGTTTAAAACAGACGCCCCCGGTACCGGGGCAGCCGGGCTGTGAGCGAAATCGCTGACTGAATGTTTTTATTGTCAACGTTTTAACTCCAAAATCCGCCTATTTTGTTGCTCCGAGTCTCAGCGGGCGCCATCTTGATTATTGTGCAATACCTGCGAGTGTTTTTCACCATTCTGTGGCCGACCCGTCACTGTTGGATGTTCGGGTCTCAATCTACAGGCCCGTAAAGCGTGGGAGTGCTTTTCGTGACAGGAATGTTGATGAATATTCACTGTTTTTATCAATATTTCAATGTTTTGTTATTTGGATTGTGGTTGTATGGACAGAAATAGTGTTTTAAAGATCTCTACCAATAAAAGTCAACATGTAAACAGTAAATATTGCCAAAATATGGACATTCTCCTGGTATATACTGAAAATATTGTATGATAACTCCTGTATTTTAGTTTATTTTCATCAAATTTACAGTTACAGTTGCATTCTAGGTGCATTATAATCTATATTATGATGGTTTTGATGCTTTATTGCATTAAAATATAGATTTTTTTACCAGGCGAAGATGAAAGTAACAGATTTTTTCTGTAATGGTAAAATAAATATATTTATATACAATGGATTTATATTCCTCAGCTTCGGACCTTTCACAGGAGAATTATGCATCCAGGCCTGATGGTTGAGGAGTTGTTCCTGATTCATTTTGGGTTTGTTATTTCAGGCGTTTTTCTGGAAAAAGGTGCCCGTGCAGGTAAATTTAAATATAAATAAGAGTGTGAAACAAAGTACAGATATACACACAGTAATACGCAGATCAAACATGTCGCTAATCTTCCTGACTTTTCAGGGTCAAAGGTCAAACGCTAGAATTAAAATTATTTACAAAAGCATGATAATCAATAAATAACAGCCTGTTTCACCATTAAGCACAACAGGACACAAGCAAAGCGTCATGATAACAGAAGGAGAGGACGCACGTACAAACACAGTGAACCTTCATCGTGACTGTCAGAGGAAAAAGTCATGTGTATTTTGTACATATCTAAATGACGAAGACTTAAAGAGCACCTTGGAAGGTAAATGACTGCGCCGCTCTCACGTGTCAGGCGGCAGCAGAAGAAGAAGCAGCAGCATATCTGAGGGGTTTTTTTCTGCTCTTGCCAAACATGAACTTGGAGAGGAATCAGGGTTCTGCAATTTCGTGTCGAAAGGCCCGACACTATCACCAGGACGAAGGTTAATGAGGGGGAAAGGTAAGGCGGCAGAACGCACACACCTAGAGTTAAACCAGCTTTTCTTTACTGCAGGTAAAAGCAGGTCAGAAACTTTTCAGAGTGACTGACTTCAAATATTATATGTAATAACCCAGTTTCATATGTTAGTAGTAGTGGAAGTAGTATTCTGTCTATGTGGGATTTTACACGTAATCACTGTGACCACTTCCTGTTTATCTTAAAGGGTAATTTAAAAGTGTCTGACAACATTATGGAAAGCAACAAACAGTCATTTTACCTCTCTGGTCTACCGAGGTTAGTTTGTTTTCCTGTGACTTTGGTGTTTTTAACCCTTTAGAAATAACACAAACAAAGTAACTGCCCAAGGCGGCGGTAGACCAGCAAGATAAAATGACTGTTTTCATCAATGGAGGTTGGTGGCTGTGACGAGAGCGATGAGGTGACTGTTTCCAGGTGGAAAAATACGGAAGTTGCCCTTTAAATGCGCCTCAAATTTAGGTGCTTTTAAATCTAAATTAAGGCTTTTGATTGGTTAATTTCTCTACAGCACTTTTCATAGAGTTGTGAAGAAGCAGGAGTTACTTCAGGTTATATGACTGACTAGAAAATACCCGATACTTTCTTTTTACAAAAACTTTTTCAGTTTTTTTTTGTTTTTTTTTTTTTACAGTTTTTCTGTTAACTACGAGTTCCAAGGTGCATCTCGGCAGGAAGTTAATAAAGTCTGCCGTTTTAAATGAACTCACATTCAGATTTTGCTTTAATTCTGGATTTATTCAGTAACCATGACCCCATGTTCTATTTACAGATTCAACGATTCTGAATTCACCGCGCCTTTGACTGACATCTCACTGTGTCTCTGTGGCAACGACAGCTGAGGCTCACAGTGTTCAGAAACTATATTAAATAATAAAAACCGTAAATGAAACATATGTGAGCGTTACACTGGTCCTGACATCATTTTAAAAATTTGAAATAGTAAAATTTGGGTTCAAAAGCACTTTCTGAACCATATTGTTGTAATTCATTTCTTTGTGTCAGATAAAGCAAGACGAGTGGCGTCCGTGTCTATGATCAATATTATAATATGTAACATTTGATTTGGAACCAAAAAAAAAGAAACAAAGGAACTGCTGGTTCGGTTGTGAAGAAGTTTCCAAGACTGATGAAGACTTAACATAGCGTGAACACGTCCCATAAACCACTGTGAACGACTTCCGACCATGGCCGTCAACCCACCCATTTCCCCCGGGAGTCTCCCGTATTTTACCTTTCCATCCCGGTTAAATATTTTCTAAAAAAAAATATTAAAAACACTGGGCGTATTTGAACTGTTGCTAGGTTCCCCTCCTGTAAAGCGGGCGGTAGTATGTAGAACATTAGCTGTAACAGTGACGGGAAGGCCCCCCCCAGTTAAAGAGGTGGTATTCTGCTTTTTGGCTTTTCCCCTCTCCTTTTATTGAGTTATAAACCTTTTTTGTGCATGTAACAGGTTTGCAAAGTGAAAAAGCCCAAAGGGAGTTCCCATCTCCCACAGAAAGCTCTGCTCTGAACTGAAAACAGCTCGTTTGTAGTCCAGATGCTTCCCTGAAACGCGCCTCATATAACGCTCGCCGAGCGGCTACTCCGACACACCCTCAGAAACAGCGAGCTGCAGCACACAGCTCTCCTCTCCCTTCCAAACACTAGCTACCCTCCAGGCAGTCAGTGGACATAAAGTTGTTCCTGTGATGTAGAGACAGAGCTCAGTTAAAACTTTATGGATACAGATTAATAACTCACCGCTCTGAAACTCTCGCTCCAGTCCATGTTGCCGAGCCGGTCGACGCAGGTTTAAGTCGCCCCCTGCTGGCTGCTAGAGAGGACGCAGGTTTAAGTCGCCCCCTGCTGGCTGCTAGAGAGGACGCAGGTTTAAGGCGCCCCCTGCTGGCCGCTAGAGAGGACGCAGGTTTAAGTCGCCCCCTGCTGGCTGCTAGAGAGGACGCAGGTTTAAGGCGCCCCCTGCTGGCCGCTAGAGAGGACGCAGGTTTAAGTCGCCCCCTGCTGGCTGCTAGAGAGGACGCAGGTTTAAGTCGCCCCCTGCTGGCCGCTAGAGAGGACGCAGGTTTAAGTCGCCCCCTGCTGGCTGCTAGAGAGGACGCAGGTTTAAGGCGCCCCCTGCTGGCCGCTAGAGAGGACGCAGGTTTAAGTCGCCCCCTGCTGGCTGCTAGAGAGGACGCAGGTTTAAGGCGCCCCCTGCTGGCCGCTAGAGAGGACGCAGGTTTAAGTCGCCCCCTGCTGGCTGCTAGAGAGGACGCAGGTTTAAGGCGCCCCCTGCTGGCCGCTAGAGAGGACGCAGGTTTAAGTCGCCCCCTGCTGGCCGCTAGAGAGGACGCAGGTTTAAGTCGCCCCCTGCTGGCTGCTGGAGAGGACGCAGGTTTAAGTCGCCCCCTGCTGGCTGCTGGAGAGGACGCAGGATTGAGGCGCTTCAATTTTGAGACCGGAGGTTCCCGCTTGGTTCACAGGTAGCAGCAAAGGCCAATTTATACTTCTATGTTTTATCTACGCACTTACTGTAGCCTCGCCGTCGTCAGCATTTATACTTGAGCGTTGGTGTCTGCGTTGGTGCCGTTTCTAGGTTCCACTGTGTTGAGTGTCTTCTTCTTCGTTGGTGGAGGGCGGCTGAAACTGAGCGGATCTTGTTGGAGCTGATCAATGTTGAACAGCAGTTACTTTTAATGAAATTACTGAACCCAGAGAAGGCGTCAGAGGAGACGGTCTGTACGACTCTTGAACCGGTTGAGGCAGAAGAAGAAAGACGAGCCGGGAATGCGTAGGAGGAAAAACCATGCCGACCAATCACAGTTCTTGTGGTCTGCGTTGCCGTAACGTGGAGTTACAGTACATCTTTGGGGCGATCCGAATGAAGCTGCATCTTTTGAAGGAAAATAACTTCCCAGGAATGTTATAATTTAAAACCATTAAAATGTCTAAATGTGTTGTGAACAGTTAAAAGCTGTTTGTTTACATATGACCGTGTTTTTATGAGGAAGTGCTGTCAGCAGCGCTGCAGGGATAATTTCTGTACATGTATTTATGATTAATTCATTAGATTATAATCTTTTAGGGAAATTCCACCAACATAAATCAGAACTAAGGAATATTCCTTGAAGGGAACCTTTAAAGTAGAAACCATGCATGGAAATCAAAACACCAGATTTAATATAAAACCTGTGTTGTATTATTTTATTTATTTTCCTTCTTCTATATATGTTGTAAGACTTCAGGAACGCGACACTGTAAACATTCAGATGTGTGTGTTTTAACAAAGAAGAGGTACACTCATTATTAAAGGCAGTATAAAAATATTAACAGCTAATCATGTAGTCACCACAATAATCTAAACTACACTTAATTGAAATTGTTATGCTGATAAGGGTTAGATGTAGGTTAATGGGGCTGCAGCAGTTTACTGTACGATGAGTTGTAACTGGAGACAATAATCTGTCTGACTGATAGACTGTAATCACTCTGTTCATAAAAGTCCTCGTTTCACCTGAATACGCCACCGCTGTAAAAAAACTCTTTTATTTTACACAGACACACACAGCAGGAAGTCTAATATATACAAATCTAAATCTTTTTAAATTCCTTTAAATAATGCATTTTGATTTTGAAATTTAATTAGATCTTTTTGTGTCTTTGTTTTGTATTTAAAGCGTAATATTTTGTTTTTGGTGCATCAGGCAAAATCTGCAAACTGAGTTTTGTATAGAAAATAATAATATACTAATACATGTGCCTTAACAAATTAAGATACGAGTGGAGAGGGCTTTTATATTTGTATTTATATTATATTTTATATTGGTCATATTTGTAACAATGCCTTTACATTTAGCACATATTTGTCCTTTTTTTATGCGGACCAAACCTCCTTATGAATCTGCTGCTTTTCATGATTTTCTTTCTCTTTAAAATTGCAAGTAATTGTCTTTTATTTTGTTTAAATCAAATATTTAGAATTGATTTTATAATTGTATTTTTCCCCCAATCCTCACCGTGTGTTTTTGTGTATACATTCAGCGCCTCAGACTGCGTAACACACGCTCAGCATCACAGACCAAACCTCATTAAGAATCTGCTACGTTTTACGGAGCTGTTTCGGGGAGGAATACCAGTAGTCCCTGTCAAGTCTAAGGTATTATCTGCCCTTTACAGCGCACTACCGTTCCAGCACTGCTCCTTTACAACTCCACTGTTTATCCACAATCAATGTGGCCAATACAGGGGCGTATTAGGGGCAGTAAGTATATTGTAAATGAAAGTTTATGGTAAAATGGCCCATAAACATGTGGCTGTATAAGTCTGGACGAGCTGCAGCGAGAGATGATTCCTCGAGTGTTTATGGATGCCGGCGAGAGGCGAGAGTTATTTGCTCACTTTGATGTGTTTTACCTTATATTTGCTCTAATTATTGGCTCTGTTGACGAAGACGATGTAGTAAACATCTTTTGATTGGCTACAAACACATTTTAATGCCACCGAGGCGAAACGTTTAGTAACCAGCCTTTTTTAATGTTCAGCCTGCAGATCAATATGAATATTTTGACTCGTGTCGCGCTGCGTCCAGTCTGAGGCCTCCTGACCTGATCTCTCTGCGACTGTGGTGTGTCAACCATTTTGTTTTGGAGAGATGAAATGTGCCCTGAAATGGCCGCCACGCCTGTTAGATCGCCACGCTGTCGTTAGTGTTTGGAGGACTTCGCACACACTCACTTACTGTTTGGCTGACTGTGTGTGTGTCGTTTCCAGGAAGGACTGATATTGATACTGTTCATACTGATAAGGACTGAAATATTCCAATCAAGCGTTAAGTGAATATTCTTAGGTGTTTTAATTGATCAAATGAACCTGGCTCACAATATTTATTCCACAGTGATCATCTCATAGTAATGACATTAAAAGCTTACTCATAATATTACAAATTTTTTATGAGACACTAAGTCTTACTTCATAGGTTACATAAGTTCAGTGGTAATGAGTTGAACCTTTTTCCAGGTTTGCAGCGATGTCCCTGACTTCTCACTCTACTGGCCTCTGACTGGCTGCCAGCTGAACATTTGACCTCGGTGATAACAGCTGAGGAAGTTGTTCCTCGTTTATGATCCACCAGGCCTCAGCCATGAAAACACTCTTTATCTTCATGTTTCCCAGTAAGCAGTTTCACATTCATTGTGACAACTTTTTGTCACCGTGGATCGACTCAGAACCCTCTATATATATTTTAATATTATTAAAATATCATGCTTGAGCTTTGCTTTAATGAAATTATATCTTATGGAAATGAAGCGTAACAGCAGAGATCCGTGAAAGTGAAACTGTAGTTCAGGTGGTCTTCTTAAACCACCTCGTCCGGATCAGCTTTATTTGTTTGCAACAAAAAGGTGCATATTAGATAGTTATTTGTCAATACATTTATGACCGTGTAGTTTCTCTGTAAAAGAGTATTTTCAGCATTAAAATGTAGGCAACATTCATGGTACAGGGATAAAAAACAAAACGTGTTTCAGAAATTCATAGGTTTCACGTGTCGTCACATTCCAAGGAAAACTCTCCCTTGGAGGGTAAAAAATACGTTATTTTCCGCTGCCTGCCAACCAGGAAGCAAGTGATACAAGGAAATGCTGGATGGTTGTTGTGCTTTCGGATATACTAACTGAGGAGGAGACAAGCCTGGGCTATGTTAGGTGAGGGATTCCCCACAAGGTAAATGTAAACATACCGCAATCGAGCGGCGGCAGGGACCTGGCGGTTTTTAACGGTAGAAATGCGGCAGCGGATGATTCAACGTTATATGGATCGGATATGCCCAACACTTGCAGTTTGTGTTCATATCTTTCTTTTTCTGAAGTCGAAAGGTGATCCAAATAAAATGTAACTGCTTTTGTGGCGT